ATGCGTGAGTCGCAGCCAGCTGCAGGATCACCATCTGCAACCTTCAGGGCCCAGCAAGATCCTGAAAGCGGCAACTTCTTCCTGCTATCTCTGCTAACACCACAGGACTAACCAGACAGGAGAATAATAATGACAGTCTTGGTATGCACTATCCCAGACAGTTTCAAATGAGCACTGTGTTTAAAAAAAATATATTTTATTATTTAAATCATTCTATAAGCATAGCAACATGGCTTGCCTTTTCCTTGTGATGATGCAGTGCATACAGAACAGCTGAATATGCAACTGCTGTTTAATTCAAGACCCAGACTCTGTCATTAAACATATTTTGTTGTAGAGCAAAATTACTTCAACGGCAAATTGCATTTGTCTCAGTCATGAAAATGCAACTTAAAATATTATTATGGATGTTGCTTCTTTTGTTGTTGTAGGTGTTAGGCTAGCTATATAATTAAGGGTCTGTCAGCATTTTCATTAAAATATTTTCATTTTTCAGGATGTGTAAGTCAGCCTTAAAAATTAAAGCTTAACGGGTGAGTCTCCTCTTCACAAGCCAAATAGCACTGTAAATACATAGCTAATGAAAAACAGAAAAAGAAATGAAGATGATGTTTCTAGGTTCTCAGAATTATCAGGGCAACACCAATCCACATACAGACAGGTGTATAAAGACCAAAGTATATATTCTCCTACATATATGAGATTAACAAACATTTTTCCAGATGAGTAACTGCTAAATTGGTAAATCTCTCTATTAACATAGAACAGATTGCTGCAAATGTAAGCAATAATTTGGGTAGTTGTACCAGATTGCTGCTACTTAACTGGTAGCTTCAGCTTTCTCCCTGTTTATGAGATAATAATGACTTCAGAGTTTATTAGAGTAAGATAAAATGCTTTTGTAGCCAGTTTTTTTAGGTATATTTTCACACCACAGGACAACTTGTGCTTCTCCACACAACGCCTCCTTTCCCCTGTGCTCACAAGGCTGAAGTTTCAGGCCGGATCCCAGGTCCGAAGGGCGCTCCGGGCCGCTGGGCGGCCTTGCACTTGGTGCAGCGGCGGGTCCCTCTTCTTGGTCTCGAGAACTGAACGAAGACACCCGGGTTTAGTACCCGGTGCCCGGTTACGGCCCAGCGTGTGGCGCCGCAGGGGGCGTTTCAGGGACCAGGAGGAAAGGAGGGAGCCCGCCGGCAGAGTAGGGCCGGGGCGGGGCCGGCGGCGGGCAAGGCCGCGTCGCCGTGGCAAC